AGGAAATCAAGGCAGCAGCGCGAATCGCAGCACGGCAGCAACATGTTGCGCAACTTATCAAAATAATCATCATTCGCATCGACAACAGCAACAGCAACAGCAGCAGCAACAGCAGCAACAACAACAACATCAACATCAAAACAGCAACATGAGCTGCGCAGGCAGCATTATGATAATCGCAAACGGTGTCGGCAATGTTCAAACAACGCGAACAACAGCAAAATTGCAACTGTTTTGCAGCTCAAACACCCATGCACTGAAAAAAAGTGTTTGTTTTTTTAAGAAGCTAAATATTATCAAGTTGTTGCAGATATCAAGCTGTACAAATAAAAATATCATTTGAATTTCATCAATTTAAATTTTAAAAAATATGATGATCCCTTAGAATTTATATTAATTTATACAGAAAATATCATAACATAACTTATGTTCAAATAATATGTTCAAATCAATGTTTGAATTTGCTTATGATTTTTTCTATACTCTTTTTTTTTGATTTGAATCTGTTTTTAAACAGATATTTCTACCTGTGCATAGTGACTGTCACCCCCTCGCTTCCCGCTCCTTCCCCTGCCATCATATCGCAATTAATAATCGAGTAGAGAGAAAAACGAGGCGCGGCATAACTGAAACTCAACTGCATCTCCGCTCAACTGCAGCTCAACTCAGCTCAACTGAACTGAACTGAGCTGCATCGTGCGCCCTTCTTTTTGATTTAAAATGTGCCGCCGTTGCACGTAGGCGTACTAGCACTAGCACTGGCACGCAGTTCACCTATCCCGCGAAAACAAGTGGCCGCCGCACCGGGGACTTTGCTCTGCCTTCATCAGTCAAGTGTGTTCTGTTGTCCGCTGCAGCCTGGACCACAAAAGGTTCGGTTCCCCCTCCCCCTCCCCCCAGTTGCAGTTGCATTTGCAGCTGTGAAGCTAGAAGCCAAGGATGCAACAACCAAGCAACTGGGCAACAGCAACTAGGCAACAGGCAACAGGCAACAGGCAACGGCAACTAGCAACATTCAACGGTAACTGCAACATGCAGCATTTGTGGGCTGGTGGCGTGTGCGTGGGCTTCTGGACCTGAACTTCTTTTTATTGCCTGGGTGGATCGAGTGGTGCGGGGTGGAGCGGAGAGATCATCATTGATCATTGTCTGATCTTGTGACCAGTGACCAGACTTTGACTTTGATTGCCATCTGAAATTGGGCAAGAAGTCGCTGCCATGAAAGAAAGTTGATGGTCTGTAGGAAATGATGGAACATCAGAAAGATATATATCGAATTTAAACTGAAAATAAAATATAAACTAAATAACAAATGTAATATAAATTCATAGGAACATTATATGATTAATTTAATTGTTGAATAAACTTGCCATTAAATCAACTTTCACATTGTTCTTCTACCGCATGAAAAGTGTTTATAAACATATTTTTCTAGATTCTTGAAATGAATTCCACCTTTCTTATCTCTTCGCATTTGTAATCCTCCTCGACACCAAGCAACATCTCACACTCTATCGAGCCAGCAAACCCCGCCCACCTTTAAAACCACTCGGCAATTAAGTTTATAAATAAATAAATCAAATGCAAATTTCTCCGGCAGCTGGGGAAGCAAAGGAAAAAAAAACGCATTCATGAAAATAAAAAAACGCAGGGGAAAACAAAACATGAAAGGCAAAACGGCGGCCTTTCTTGTGGGTGTGACATCGAGGGGCGGTAAAGGGGATGGGGGAAGGGGGCGGGGCCGGCGCCTCAGGTGAGCGGCCAAGCATGAGGAGTAAAAGGGGGAGGGGGAAAACGAGGAGGGGGAAGTGGAAGTGGAGAAAGGGGGGGTTAACCAAGAATCGTTGGCGGCTCGTCAGGGAGCCTTAATTAGAAAATTGCTAATAACTCATGCACACGAACAAATTTCAATATTAATGAGTTTTAGGCCAGCGTCGGCAGCAACATCAAGTGAGTGCAACAGCAACAACAGTAGCAGTTGCACCAGCAACATCAGTAGCAGTAGCAGCAACAAAAACAACAGCAGCAGCAACATATGCTGACTGAGTTTAGGAACTTGCAGCGGCGGGGGTCTTTAATTGAAAAAAACCAAGAACTAAGAGCCAAAAAAAAATTCAAAAAAAGAAAACAGCATCATCTTGACCAGAACTGTGCACTGTGGGAGATCTGTTGGCCAAAAGGCCCCCTCGTCTCTAATTTGTTACCTTTGTTGCCTGCTCACTTGGCTGCCTGTCTTACGCCGCTCATTAACTTGGCTGAAAACTCTATAGGCCGCAGCCGCAGCTCACTGAGCGGCCCATCATCATCATTTGACTGATTTAGTTGTCAGTAATGGTCGGGCTATCTCCCCCACCCATTTAACCCCGCCCACCCCCTCGCCCATCCATTTTGGCCGCCTTGGCCATCCCCCGTCCCATAATTAGCATGCAAGCGGCATAAATCGCAGCAGCAACAACAATTAACAGACCCAAATTGCATGCAACACAGCGGATTTTTCTTTATTCTCTGCTATTTTTTAGCGGCTTTCTCTGGGCTTGGTGTTTCTTTTTTTTTTGTTTTTTTGTTCAATGTTTCCTTTTCTTTTTGTTTTTGTTTTTGTTGTGTTTTTTTTTGTCTATATTTCTCCTACTTAGCATGCATTGCAGGCAGTCATTGACGTCTGCAACAGAACACGTAGGCAAAGCAGCGACAACAGCAACAACAACAACAACAACAACTAGCAGCAGCAGCAGCAGCAGCAGCAGCAGCAGCAGCAGCAGCAGCAGCAGCAGCAGCAGCAGCAACAACTGTCAATTATATTAGTTGTTGTTACTACACACAGCGCTAATTCAAAAATCATGCGTGGGCAGCAGCAGCAGCAACACGCCAGCAGCAACTGTAGCAGCAGCAGCAGCAGCGGCAGCAGCAACAGCAACAACAACATTGCCGCACAGCAGCAGCAACATGGCCACTTCTTACAACTTCTCTTAATTAAGTGTCGACCTGCCGTTGCATGCAAATGGAAAAACAAGAAGCTTTTCCCGCTGATGTTGTTGCTGCTGCTGTTGTTGTTGCTGTTGCTGTTGTTGCGGTTGCTGCTGGCAATGTGGCGACCTTTAGCCATTGCGTGTTGCCTGCCACTTGGGCCATAATTTCCAGGCCAACATTTTGGCTTTTCTCTTGTGTTTGTGCGATCTTTAACTGAATGGGAAATACTGTGAAAAGGTTAAGGAAACACAGTCATTCGAGAGAGTGCTAAACCATTTTCCAAATGTCTTGAGAACGAATGGCAAAATAAATATGGAAAGCGTAAGCTTAAGCTTAACGATCCAGAATTATAAAACTGGAGTGGTTTGTTTTGATTTCCCTGTAATTAAAATAATCAAGTGTTAACGGTAACCGATTCGAAAGGCAGAGAAATTGTAATGGCGTGTTTTATGCCATTCTTTTTTTTTTTCCAGTGCCATCTTGTATGTCTTTATGTGCTCCACTCAAAGTTCGCACGAATTTTCCAGCGGCAGGAAAAATCGGGAGGGAGGGAGACAGACAGAGAGAGAGAGGGAAATAACAAAATGCATGCGTAATTTACGCTTTACGATCGCAATGGCCTCAGATACAGATTCTAACTCCTCTATAATATCGTTATCGAGCTGCGAAATCGCTTCGAGGGGCTCTACTTTTAGGGGGATAAACGGGGGCTAGAAAGGGGGTAAAGGGGAGGGGGGTGAAAAGAGGGGAGGGGGGAGGGGGAGCCCAGGGGCGCTGGGAGCGAGATCCGTTGCATGCTGTGTGCCCGGTGCGTAGTGCAATAAATCAAAGTTTTATTTGTTGAAATAAATTCAGAGTTTATTGCTTCGTTATTATTTCGGTTTCTTTTTTTTTTTTTTTTTTTGTTTGTTGTTGTTTAGGTTTTTTCTTGGGTTGTGTTTGCAACTGAGATTGCCAACACCATCGAGAGGGGAGAAAAAACGGAAAAGAAACAACAACAGCAGCGACAGTTAGCCATCAAAACAGCGCTGTTTGGCCGGAAATGTTTGCTGTTACCATTGAGTATTGGTGTTTGTGTGTGTGTGTTTGTGTGTTTGTTGGCCATTTCTCTTCGAGGTGGAGACTTGCCTAATTTCAGATCGTTTCGTTGATTGCACGAATGCCAACTGCTCGATTAATTATTTAGACATCAGGTTAATGCCAGCCGAATGGCGCGATCTGAACGAGATAGTTAAAGCCAAACGAAATGAACGGGCTAATTAAAGTAAGGGAAAGTGTAAGAGAATATTTTTTAAAGAGTTTTCAAGTAGAAACTTTTATTTCAAACACATTTTGCATTTAGCATCTACAATTCTTGGGCAATTTTCCACAACTCTAGCTTTAAGCATCTACCACTCTTTTCCCCAACTTCAGTTTTAAATATGCAACAAAAAAATATTTGAAGTCCACAAAAATTTATCGATTGTTAGACCAAAAATATTCACTGCCTGCAGAACTGTGCAAATAATACTCGGATGAAACTGCAGAGTCAGCGTTTTGTTATGGAAATAACGCAGTGACACGCCTTGTCACGCCCTCAATTGCCTCTAACCCCCGCAGATAACCCCCTGAATATATAATTTGTTTTTTTTTCTTCTGTATTTTTTTTTTTTGTAATTTTTGTATTTTTTGTTGGATGGCAGTGACATTTGTGAACCCTGGGCAAGATTTCGCAATTTGTTTGGCATTTGTGCAAGCGCTTTGGCATTAATTGCATCTAAAGATACCGATACAAAGATACACCTATCTGGGTGCATGTATCTATCTGCAGCATGTGCGATTGATTACGCAATTTCAATTAGCAACAGCCGCAGAACACCAAATTAAGAAATTACTATTTTCAATCGAGAGTCGAGAATCGAGAATCGCGGTTCGCAATTCGAGTTGAGTCGAGTCAGTCCCTCCCAAGCAACGCAACTAATTAATAATATATTTTGCAAAGCTAATACCGATTAATAAATAACATATATATTGTGTATATTCTGTACTTGCAGCAGCGTAAGCTGTCACCGACATGGGCAGTGAGCACTACTGCTTGAGGTGGAACAATTACCAATCCAACCTGTTAGGGGTGTTTAGTCAATTACTACAAGACGGGAGCCTGGTGGACGTCACACTAGTTTGTTCAGAGGGCACATCCATCAGAGCCCATAAGGTGAGTAAATATTATATATATTCGGAATTATAAATACTTATTTGGATACCTCTTTAATTTTAACTCGGCAAAAAGCTTACACAAAGCAAATAGTCTTACAAAACTAAGAGGTAGTTGGGAAAATAAATCAAAACAGAACAGAAGAGTCAGTATACAAAAATAAAAATAATACCTTAACTATTGATAAAGCTTAAATGTATTTCTTATAAGTTTTTTATACAATTAGATATTTTTATTTATTTATATTTAGTCAACTTAAAAATGACACAGTTTCTAGTTTATTTTCAAACTAGTTTGTTTAAATAAATGAAATCACTTTCATTTAACCACATCTGTTATTGTCAAACTTTTCCTTCGCTTCTCTGAAAGAAAATTCCATAGTTGTCTGGGAAAATCGAGAACGCGTGAATTGTAACTGTAAAATGCGGAAGTCGGCGATCAAGGTCGAAGCTTTGCGTTTGTGTTTGCTGAACTGAACTCCCCCCCTTCCCCTTCCACCTCCCCCTTTCCACCTGTTCCCTTCCCTGCCCCTCCCGTTATGGTTGGGCCTCCGCCGCTCTTTTTCCTTGAAATGCCAGGCGCATAAATTAACGCAGCAACTACAGCAGCAGCAAACCCAACAACAAAAACAGCAACAAGATCAAATGCAATTTACACATTTGTCAGTAAATTGTCAACTTAACGCGAGCCAAAGCAGCGACGCCAGCAGCGAATGTTGCTACTGCAACAGCAATAGCAACAGCAACAGCAACAGCAACAGCAGCAACAACGGCAACATGTTGACAAGGTCAGCGTCTAATGGAAATTGACGGCAGTGCAACCGCAGCCATCTATCTCTTCCTCCTCTCGCCAAGTGTGAGTGCATAAATCATGCGTTGCCCAGACGACAACAACAACAACAACAACAACTACAGCAAGAGCAACAGTAACACCAACAGCAACAACAACAACTATAGTAGCAACAACAACCACTTTGTGCACACGTCTGTCAATTGAAATTCCTGTTAAATTAAGCGGAAAATATTTAACTGCGTTAACTGCGGCCAATGCAACCAGCCAGCCAGCCAGCCAGCCAGCCAGCGAGTGCAGCCAGTGCAGCAATACCGCTCTTGCCACAAGATGTTGCCCCCACTTGATAAAGTTATTTGTGAATCTGGCCAGGAAAAACTGGTAAATTGTTCAATTATAAATGTTCATCTCCGACACTCGGGAAACATTTTCATTAGCCGAAGGGGAAGCGATGATCAGAATGAAAATGAGAATGGGCATGAAAATTATCCAAGGAAATGGAGCCCGGCGAGGAGAAAATCGAGTGGAAATGCCACAGGCAAATTGTCTCAACAAATACTAATTGACACACCGGGCAATAATGTTCAATTTAGAAGTTATTGAAGAAATACCAGCCACTAATTGGATGCAAGTACTAAGAAAGCAGGAGCTTGGATTAAAAACGTTAGTTAGACAATTTTTAAAAATGAAGAAAATAGAAAGGTAAAGACCACTGCTCATCCATCTTAATTAGTTTTTGTGCCTTTTCAAGCGGCAACCAAATCTAAATCTATTATCTGTCAAGACTGCTAGAATGGCAGGACTCCAAAAAAAAAAAAATGTTTATAAAAAGAACTACTCGATTAGCTCATTTTCAGTTCGATGCAAAGGACATTCGGACATTAATCCTTGGACTGGCCGCCTTCCTCTGTTTACTGGCAAATCAACTTCATTAGGCATGGATGGCAGAAGAATGAAGAAACGGCAAACAAACAAACAAACTGATGAGTTCATTTCCGTTTTAGACACATTCAAAAAAAAAAAAAAAAAAAATGAAAACAGGAGAGAGAGAATAGGAAAAGGCAGGGAAAACAGAAAGAATTTCAATTCAAGTAGGAGGAAAACGGGGACGGCGCACAGGACACACATGTCCTGGGCAAACTAATTAGCAAATGCACATAGAAAAAGGAGAAAGAGATGACAAAAAAAAAAAGAAAACTGTCGACGTTTAGAAAGCGACAGGCTAAGGAGGCTTCGAAGGATCCAAAGGATGCGTCGAGTGGCAGGACATCCCGCAGCCCCACACCATCCAAACTGTCAATTACTTTTGCATATATATACATATGTCTATATATATCGGACGACTGCCTTCTCGAATGCCAAAACGAATCCAGAGGCGCCTTGGAAATCGTTCCCGAAACAAGGACATCACATCCAAGCCAAAGGACAGCGGAGGAGGAACAAAAAATTGTTAAATTGATTAAAAAGCAAAGTGTCGATGAACGAGGCAATGATGACAGCAGGCACTCAGCCACTCAGCCGGCGAGGAGTCAGGATCAGTGGCCAGGACATGCAACCAGGCCAAAGTCAATTCAATGAAAAAGAAGCCAACAGAGGCGGCAACACACCAAAAAAAAAAAAAAAAAAAAAACAAGTTAACCAACGGCGTTGGCAGGAAGTTGCAGAAAGAAGGGGGCGAAAGGGGGTTGGGGAACGACAACCAAGTGATGGTCCTGCATCCTGGCCATGCGTCCTGAAATGGAGCCAAGCCAAATATGCCCTCATGTGCGTGGAATGCACTACTGCGAGGCGTGCTTCGAAAGTTATGCAAAGCTTAGAAAAAATGTGAAGGTCTATTTATTAGTTATTTTTAAAGGGACAAAAAAATTAAACAAATTTAAATTTATTTCAATATTTTGAATATTAGGTTTTGGATAAAACTTGTGTTTCTAGTAAAGGTTTTTCATTAGGAAAATATGGTTTGAATAACTAGACATATCTGGGAACACTTTAATATTAAGCATAGGTTGTCTGTTTCAGAATAGTTCTTGACCACAGAACTTTTCGTGCGGCCCTCGTTTTCAGTCGATGCCTGGGCATCGTGTGGAAGTGATTTTTTTACCCACCATTTGCAGTTGTAGTTTGCCTTTTTCCTCGACTCCTCCTGTGTGTTTCTGCCACAGGCTTTTGTCCTGTCGCGCGTGTGAGTGCAAGTGGGAGCGAGACGGGTGGTGGACGAACGTGGGCGAGAAAAAGAGACGGACAGACGACGACGGGCGTCGGCACTTTAACTCAATTTGAGGCATTTAACGTATGCTCGGTTGATATTTGATGCGATTTGAGAATCGTTCGCAGCTGCCTCATCTCATCGCAGGACTTTTTGCTCTCGCCCGTTTAGCGAGATTCTTTTTTTTTCAGTTTTTTGTGTTTATCTTTTTTTTTTTGGCCGACAACGAAGCAGCCGAAAGGCAAACAAAGTGTAACAAATGTCGTTGCGGACAGGTCAAGAGGAGCTGGCCCGTCATCGCCCAGCGTTGGCAAATGACTTTCAATGACTTTTCCCTAGCAGGCAAATTTCTGTTCAAATATTTGCAGCAACCGAACGAAAAAAAAGAAAAAATAGAGAAATCATGCAACATTTTTGTTTCGTTTTCTGTTCTTTTCGAGGGACTTTTTCCAAGCGGAGTTTTTTTGGGGCATGTGTGTGTGTGTGTGTTGTCTTAAGCTGATTTGTTGGTCAGCTAAGAGTCTGATTGAGTTGCCCACCTTCTCTTCCCCTTCCCCCTCCCTCTCTCTCTCTCTCTCTCTCTCTCTTTCTCTTGGCAAATTTGCATGGACATGGCTTCGATTGGGTATAACAGGGTGTTAAACAACATGCCAGACATGCCAGAAATATGCAAAGGCAAAACACTTAACAACGGGCAACAACACATTTTTGACAAGACAACGGCAACGGTGCGGCAAAAGCAACAGCAGCAGCAGCAACAACAACAACAACAACCAAAACAACAACAACAACAGCAACGGCAAAAGCAACAATTGCTGTAGAAACTGCAATGGTAACAGCGGCAACATGACGTGACCGCCTCTATTGACAGCTGCAACAACTTGCAACATATGTTGCAGTCCGTCCGGCAACAACAACACTCGCAGCGCCAATTTGTTTGGCCCGGCCGTAAACATTAAAATCAAATGTCAATAAATTGTACACGTACTCATTTTAAATATTTCTAAAGAGACAAGAATTTACTTTTCCTCGAGCGGTTTAATTCCATAAACCATTCAGAGCTAATGCCTTTTAATTTAGTTTAAAACCCTATTAAAGTCGCCATAAAAATGTTTTTTTTTTTTTTATTAATGTGCGACTTGTTCAACGATTTAAAACAATTAAAACTCATAGCGAGAAATATTTATGAAGGTTTTTTATGCATTCTGCATTTAAATATTTAATTGGAAAAAGGAAATCTGGCACAACTTGCGTTGTTTCAGATTGTACGTTAGTTTATTTCCGGTGGCATTAAAAAACCTTTTCTTGGTGTAACGTTCAATTTCTTACCTCTTTATCTATGGAAAACTTCTGAGTTTTCAATGGCTGACAGAAAACATAAATTTTTGGAGTTTTTAAATGCTTTTAACAAAAGATAAAGCACATTCCAAAAATGCAAATGCGCATTTTTTACGAAGACCACGCCTTAAGCCAGACCGCCGAAATAAAAACAATGGTAAACAGCCCCCCAGCAACAAATTTGTGATAAATTGTTTTGCATAATTTTGTAACAAGAGATTATTAATAAAACAGAACAACATACATAAAGCAGCTGCCGTTGCCCCACACACAAAATGCCAACTAATTGCGATTTTATGTTAACAACCCGAATCGAACAAATCGCGGAAAACTGAAAACCGAAAGCCGAAAATCCGAAAAGCTAAGCCAACATTTATCTTTCATCGCTCATAATGTGGAGCAGCAAGGCGTGGGCTGATTTTTCTTTTTTTTTTTTTGTTGCTTTATTATTTTTTTTTTTTTTTTGGTGGGTGGGGCAAGTGCAATTATCATTTCAATTTTCCACGGCCCCCTCCTCCTCCTCCAGCTGAACGTTGCCAACTGCAAATTGTCTTGCGGTTTTCTCTTGGCCAGCGCCGCGTATGCGTAATGTGTCGAGCACCGACTGGCCATTGCGCATACGCCGCGTGGTCACGTACTCGACTCAAATGCGCTAATCCATCGAGAC